TGATCTACCACTAAGTTATATCCCAGCCCTGTGCTTCTAACTTTAAATCATTTACACTCATATTCTGAAGTTCTGTGTTTCTCTCATTTTAACTGGACCAGTTTCTAGAAACCTCCAAATAGCGTAGACATTCATCCTCAGAAGTTTTGGGAATGGTGCAAGGCCCTGGGTTTGATGTGCACGTTTGGGAATGGTGTGGATATCTCATAAGGAAAAAAAGAAAGCTGCACTTTCACCATTACCAAACCATATAAAGGTGACTCTCAGATCAGTAAGGATAGAATATGAATTAATAGGGTTTTTTTGAGACAAGGTCTCCTAATGGAGCCCAGGCTAGCCTCAGACTCACAGCAATCCTCCTGCTTCAGCCTTCCGAATGCTGGGATTACAGGCACTTGCCACTATGCTTGTTAGCAAAGTATTTCCTGGCCTTTTCTACAAGTATCTAAAATGGAAGCCTGCCTTGTAGAAGGTAGTTGATAAAAATGTGTTAAGTGACTAAAGTGAAAAATGTATTCTCACTTTCCTCCATCCTTTCTTTTTGTACTGGAGATTAAACTTGATCTTAAACTCAACACCCCACCTTTCATTTTTCCAGCACTGAGGCTGGAACCCAGGGATTCCAGCCCCTCTTCGCATTTTGAAAATAACTTTAGGCTTGCTGTAAAAGCTAAACAAATCTCAGAAATATAAAAAATGAAAATCTACCTTCTCCTTCATCCTCTCCTCTTCAGAGACAACTAAAACAGCAAGCAGAAACACCAAAACAACACCGAGGACTTGGAGGCAGATTTATTTATGTTGATGGCACTGAATATCAGGCCCTGACCTCTGGCGGTCCAGGGCTTATATGGGATAAGCAAGCAGGAAGTACAGAGGCAGAATGGCTTGTCAGTTGGGGCTTGGTTTACACAATGCACATCACAGTGACCAGCCATTTCTAGGAGACAGAAGCAACCGGAACTGGAACAGGAACTATTACCTGGGCAACTAACAAACTGAAGTATACTGACCGGGGGCCCTATGTTGTTACACAACCGCTAGGGACAATTTGATGTACAGTTTTGTTACACAAGCAGAGGCATTTGGTAGGTATTAATTTGTTCCTTGTTTCCTATTGTATCTAGATGCCTTGTCCCTTTTAATGCCTTCCGTGGATCTGTTAGCATGGACGGCAGACACTGTCAATCCTGCTTATGTCCCCTGGGAGCGACCTCTCATCTTCACACGCTGAAGGCTGACTTCTGATGGCCAGTGCCTCCAGGTTGCAGGACAATCCTTCGTGCCTCTGAAACCAGTTGGCCCAAGGGCAGTTGACTGGAAGTACCCAAGAATTAATACACCTCTGGGAGAGAGCCTTTAACCAGTAACTCAGAAATGTAGAAAGTGCCAGCTGTGGTAATGTATGCCTGTAATCCCAGAATTTAGGAGGCTGAAGCAGGAGGATTGCTATGACCAGCCTGAGCTACATAGTGAATTCAACGCCAGCCTGAACTACATAGCGATACTCTTAACAAACAAACAAACAAAAACATAGAAATATAAACTAGGTACAGTGGCGCCTGGCTGTAACGCCAGCTACTCAGGAGGCTGAGGCAGGAGGATCACAAATTTGAGCCCAACCTGGGCAATTTAGGAACCTGGCTCAAAATAAACTTAAAAAGGGGTTTTAGGGCTGAGGATGTAGCCCTCAAAGAGTTTTGTTCCTTTTTGCAGGGGGTTGGGGGCAGAGTTTTGCTCTGCAGCTCAGGCTGGCCTTGAACTCATGATCTTCATGCCTCAGCCTCCCCAGTGCTGTGATCACAGACATGCATCACCATACCCAGCAGGTTTTGTCACCTTTAATAAGACCTTTATACACACAAGCATATTTCTATGTAAGGCAAGATTACTAAGTGCTCTCTGTGTGCTTAAAAATAAAAATTCGGGAGTATAAATACTTCTCAAGCCCTTGGCTAGAGTGATTTGAAGGCGTGTGCTTTGCGCTGCTTTCAATTTCCCTGAAAGATTACACTCTCGTTGTTCTACTTTACAGCTTAGTCACACACTCTTTATTGGCTGTCAACTCTTTCCTGTGTCACTTCCCATTTGCTCTTCCCTACATGCATCTCGCACTGGGCCTAGTCACAAGGTCTGCTTTGGGGAGCACAGAAACTCAGACAGCACGGACATCCTCTAGTTTGCTTCATTATTTTCTTATTAATGCCCAATTAGTTGTCTGCGGGGTTCTTTTTAGTGCTGGCAATTGAAACCAGGCCTCATGCGTGGTGAGCCTGTATTCTACCACTGAGCTCCGCCCTCAGCCCGGTGATTTTTGATAGAAATAAGACTCCAATAAAATCTTTACCCATGTGGTTTAAATACCTGCACATATTCCTGAATTACAAATGCTGGGTCAAAGAAACTTCATATTAGGTTTTTAGAAATGATTGCCAAGCTGACCCCCAAGGCGGCTTTATTATTAACATGCTTACCAACAGTTTGTTGCCGTGACCTTTGACCCCTTCTCTGGCCAACACTCTGTATCACAGGCATTTTCATTTTTTGCTGATCAGTTAGACAGAAGCATATGTATTCCGTTGATTTGTTGTGTTCCATTTTAATTTGCGTTTCTTAGATGAATTGGGCTAAACATTGCAGCCTTCCAGGTGGTTAGGGTTGATGGGAAGAAAGCCTGCACACACAAGCACTCCCAGTGCGAAAAAACATCAGCTCTGGATTTAACAGCTGACAGTATACAATCCCAGCAGTAGCGAGGTGGCTGTGCAGAGCAAAAGTGAATATCTCCATGCAACCTTCCCTGCGTACCGGGCCCCAGTGGGGGACGTGGTGCACACAGGGAAAAGCCCAAGGCTCGCTACGCCTTAACCTTACTATACTTAGGGCTGGTTGTATCTCTCTCTTTTTATTTTTTAAGACAAGGTCTTGCTATGTAGACCAAAAGGGCCTGGAATTCTAGACTCTTCTGTTTCAGCCTCCCGAGAGCTGTGATCATAGGCACGCACTACCATGCCCCACAGGTATCTCCCCTTTTCACAAGACCTAGCTGCACACAAGCCATATTTCTGTCTGAGGAAGACTGGGCACCTAGCGCTCTCTGGGTTCTTGAAACAAATTTAGCAGGGACAGGTGTTGCTAAACAATAGTTTTGCCTGTCCCTTTCCCATTTTCTGGAAAGTCTGTTCCCTTGAAAACCATCCCTTTGTTATGAATTTAAACCAGATGGTTCTGAGGTTGAGTGTAGTTTCAAAATCACAAGTAAAATTTATTTTTCTAAAATCATCTGTTCATATGCTCAATGAATTTTTTTTGTGTGTGTGGAGACAGGGTCTCGCTATGTAGATCAGGCTGACTTGAACTTACTAGGTAACCCAGGCTGGCCTCGAACCCACAGCCATCTTCTTAGCCATCTGACTGCTAAGACTAACGCCACCACTCCTGGCTTGGGATTTTGTATTTTTGATGTGATTGGCTAGTCATATACACTATGTTGTCCATTTTTTTTTATTGAATTATCTTTGGTTTTTTATTAGTTGAAAAAGTTTACATATTATATGTTTGTTTTGAAGCAGGATCTCACTATGTACTTTAGGCTGGCCTTGAACTTGCTGTGTAATCCAGACTCAAACTCAAGATCCTCCTATCTCAGCCTCCCAAGATCTGGATCGCAGGTTTTTGCTACCACGCCCAGCCCTGCCGTGTAGATATTAACACTCTGCTTGTTATATATGCCGTCAACAGTCTCTCAGTCTCTTGCTTATCACTGACCTTTGTTCATTCTTTCTCATAAAGACATAAAGTGATATCTTATTTTTCTTTCCAGCTTTTTTTTTTGGCAGTGCTGAGCAGTTGAATCTAGCACCCCACATATCCTAGGCAAGTGTCTACCCGAGGCCACCTTTTTTAAAATTTTATATCTTTAATCCATCCAGAATTTATTTTTGTGCATGATGTGAAAAAGAAATCAACCCAGGGAAATCAATCATTTTTGCTGCTGCTATAAGAGAGCTGTTTTCCCTGTTTCATTTTCTGAATGGTTATCACTAGTATATAGACTACAGGCGCACTTCGAAGTTCCAATTTCATCACCTCCCACCGGCATCTCAGCAGGACCACGCCTGTGTGTTGAAGGAAGACCCTCCCAGACGGGGCAGCGCACCTACTGCGCAGCCATGAAGCAGCTATCTCTTGGCCTTTGTTCCCTCATCTTTCAAATGGGGAAACTGGACCAAATTACCATGGTTTATTCTTGAATTAATAATGCTAAGGTCTTAAATAACTTCATCCTTTCTGGCCAAAAGGTAGTTCAGTTTCGAAAAGGAAGAAAACTGAATCCCGGATCTCCAGTTGCTAAAGGGCTTTGAACATTTGAAAATGATACCAGGGGGTGAGGATTAGCGCCCCCTGCTCTCGAGTTCACTGCCTGGGTGCGCTCTAGCGGGGTCCCCACCTCTGACTGGTGCACAGCCCAGGCAGCCATTCAGCCCTTACCTGATGGCTCGCTGTCCAAAACAGGCTTCTTCCCACAGAAAGGGCAGAGGGATGCAGCGGTGGGCTCCTGCTTCAGGAAACTCCTTTAATGACCTGGCATTAGACAGCTGGCCAGGTCACTCTATCCGTCTACCCTTGACCAAGAAGTCCAGCAGTGTATGAGTCCATATGAGCCTATATGCCCGGTGCTGGCTTCTAAGCGGTCTCAACCATCCATTCAGAGAGAAACTTAACTACCCCAAAGAATCACAAGGATTCATTGGGTACCTGATAATCTACAATTCTTATTACCAACCCTCTGGGTCAGCCTTAATGTGTGCTCTATTTTTATCATTTACTTCAAAATATTTCAACACAGTGTGATACACATGCCATCTATGCCGTCTACCCCTGAGAACTGCTAATTAACATTTGGAGTCCTCTAAAAGGCATGAGCTCTTCAGAGATTAATAGAAGCTGAAAGGCTCTAAGCAGAACTCTAGGCAAAAAAAGATCTAACCAAAGAGTGATACCACCATGACTTCAACTATCTTTATTTCATATTAATACCGGAGGGCTTATTCATTAGCATAGAGCATTCGATATTAGTTTCCACTGGTAAAATGAGTTGTGTTCAAGACCCGTGCATTAGTTGGAAACCCCATGAAGGAAGCTTCTGCTTTGCCCAGTCATTTACCCCACATCCTTCCAGATGGCCTAAGCCAAGGATTCAGGATTCAGTCAGGACCGGTGCAAGCCACCTGCAAAGAACTCTACCACCTGGCCCCAACTAGAAATTTGTTTTAATCCTGCAGGTTCTACTAGCAGGTCTAACAGCAGGTCTAATGTGGAAGCAGTCATGCGCATAAACAACATTTCAAACTAACAGCAACTGTAAAATGATAGGTCATATCTATGATTTCTATTGGTGACAAAGTCACAAGTTCTGGTACTGCTGCAATTTATTGCTTACATCATTGTTCAGGGAAATGCTAAATTTCATCCAGAGGTTAGTAAAAAAATTTTTTTTTATTCAAGAACTTAGAACCTATAAATTTTATTCACTCCCTCTTGCTACAAATACCTGAGCATCACCCAGTGAATGTTTGGCTGTAAAGAAGCCATGCAGAAGGGTCTTACTGCTGAAGGCGCCCATCATGGAAGCAGCAATATTCTAGCCAAGGGGATCTTTCTTGGGACTCTCAGAGCAGTCCGTAGGGACAGACTCTCCCCTACTCTCTGTTGCTCATGCCCAGGGTCCCCATAAAGCCTCTGTCAAAGCAGTTCTTCCATCTAAGGTGAGCTCTAAAAGCAGTCAGTGGGGCGTCAGCCTGTCATAGGCCAAATCCTTTCTTGAAAAACCCAGGTTTCCCTCAGGAAACAGCAGAGATCTATATGACTCCAACATGGACACACCTGCTCACCTTGTCCCAGCTCACACTTCTCTTCGAGCCACCACGTATTTACATTTACATAATGAAATGAGCCCTTGCACTGGTTTTCCCAGACCAAAGTAAATTGCTCGAAAGCTTACCCATGTCTTGCCTCTGGTAGAGCCCAAGATTCACTTCTGAACTCAAAAAAACCTACATTGGCCAGAGATATAGCTCAGCAGCACAGTGCCTGCCTGGCAAGCATGAGGTCGTGAGTTCAATTCCCAGTACCAAAAAACTACATTGATCATTGATTTTTTTTTTTTTTTTCCATTTGTGTTTTCTGGTCCCCTTGATAAGATTTCAGAGGTCTCCAGGTCAAAACTCAGTCCCTGCCCAAACGTCCTGAGCTCAGCCCTCCGAGCTGTGGCTGAAGCAGTGAGCCAACCCTGTGAGGCCTGAGATCGCCACCGCCCTGGTCCCCGAGGCTGCTTTCACAGCAGGAAGCTATCGCTCCTGGGGTCCATCCTGGCTGGGGAGCTGGTGGAGGACAGGACCAGGGAACAAGAAAACCAGAAGAACGGCCTGCGGCACGTCCAGCTCTTTGTTCTCTTACAGTTGGGAGAGTGCTTAGTTAGGTATCCCGGACAACTCAGTCAGAGAGAAGTCTGGAGTCAACAGCGTGCATTCCTTATCCCAGCCGGCTGCCCAGTGTGAGAAGCTGCGGAGGTGCTGGAGGACAGAGAGGAGCTGGGCAGGGTCTCTTCCCTCCCTGCCCGTGGAAGCACTAAGTTCTCCAGGGTGGAGGCTGCTAGGCTGGAGTAGGGAACGGCAACCAAGCAAGCCAGGCCCTCCATGGGCCCCTGCACACAGCCAGGCCCCTGCTCCTCGGTTCATCCCCACTTGGGCTGGCGGATGAGATTCATTATCAATCAGTTGGTCTCATTCCAGTGGAGCATGGAAGGACAGGCGAGAGAACTGTTTGCAGAAAAGCGTCCTTCTCTCCTAGATCTGCAGGCTCCTCACCTTTCCAGCCTCGCTTGAGCCCTGAATTCCTTTTCTCGTTTGTTTGTTTATTTTGGATTCGAGTCTCACCGTGTTTTGTTTTGTTTTTCTTTGTCGTTATGTTGCTCTTGGAACCCACTGCCTCAGCGTGCTAGGCAGACGCTGAGCCACACCCGCAGGCCTGGCATCTTCAGGGACTGTCCCCTCCGTGGCCTCCTGAGGAGCTAGGACTAGGAGTGTGCACCGCCCCACCTGCTGCCCCCAGCCTGAATTCTTCCTTGATTTGTCCAGATTTATAAGCTTGCCCTGTGATCTTCCCTGGTCCCTACGTGGTTGATCTTCCAGGGTCTCCTACTTAGCGCCCTTAGGGAAAGGCTAAAGTGCTAGCTGCCCAACCTGGGTAACGAGAAGGAAAGAGAAGCCAAAATTAACCTGTATTCAAACAAATGATTCCATCTATAGAAGCTCATTTGTTTCTGTCTGTGCAGCTGCTTGTGTTAGTTGGTACCTGGGAGTGAGAGACCATCTTTCTCTCTCTTTTCTCTCTCTCTCTTTCTTTCTTTCTTCCTTTCTTTCCTATAGTGCAAATTGAATCAAGGCCTGACACATGCTACACAAGTACTCTGTCACTATGTCCCAGCTTATTTATTTATTTATTTAGACAGGGCCCTGCTGAATTTCACAAGCTGGCCTTAAATTTGCTACCCTCCTGCCTCAGCCTCCGTGGAGAGCTGGGATTACAGATGTGAGCCAACACGCCTGGCTCTGGCGCATTTTTCTTAAATGTTTCCTTATCTCCAGGAAATGACCAGCTCATTATGTACAGTTCAAGTGCATGTTAGGGGCTGCCCCAGCAAGCAGCCTACTCCTTGTACTTCCTGCTTTTGGTTCTACTAAAATACCCAAAGGGTTGTTCATCTAGGCCCTCCCTGTCTGGGCCTTGAAGATTACTAACTCAGAGGCTATTTCCAGTCCTGAGCCTTGTGAGCCCTCAAACCCACTGCCCTCCACAGTATGAGCCTCTGCGGTATCAGTTTGCCTCCAAAGGCAAACACTTCCAGCTCTTTCAAGAGTTGCATATTCTACCTCCCCACCACTAACGACTTCCAAGTCAAAGTAGCCACTGTGCATTTTGTCAAAAGAGCCCTGTCTGTCCACCTTCCCAGTTGTGGGAGCTCGGCTAAGTCACTTAAATTTTCTGAGCCTCAGAGGGGAGATAATGACAATAGTGACACCAACCTAGAAGGTCTGCAGAGCTTACGCCGAGCGTTTTGTGAATACTGCTTAGCAGACATCAACTGCTTGTTTCAGGGTGAGGCAGCATAGCTTCAGAGATTTACCAGAAGTTTTTCAGAATTTTCTGTAGGACCCAAGAACCTAGGCATTTACCCTGGCAATGAGGACAGCCTTAGCAAAAGAGCTGCAATAAGACAGAGGTGGGTGCTGGTCGTGTGTCCTCGGAGGAGTTAAACACCTCAACGACATTTTCAAACCATCAAAGAGCCCCAATTCTAGAAACACAGTAAGTTGCAGGAAAACATTTGTCCATTTCCTTGTAGCTCTCCGGGGTGTGAATCCCGGTCCTGAGGCTTTAAAACCTCAGCACTCTGAAAGGCTGAGGCAGAAGAATAGAAAGTTGGAGCCCCGCCTGGGGAATTGAGCAAGACCCTGTCTCAAAATAAAAAATAAAAAGGGCTGGGGATGTAGCTCAGTGTGAAGATCCTGGGTTCAATCCCCAGTACCACAGAACACATGCGCACAGAGATCCAGGCAAAAACTACACCTGCCTCACGGATGGCTGAGTTGGCAGAATTGCCCACAGCTCTAGTTGTGGTTGTCCAGGAATAACACCACAGAAAACCACCCCAGTTTCGGTCTGAATGAATTCCTCCCTGGTCCCTCCCACCCCAGGGCCTTTTGCCATCTCCTTAGCCCTTGAATCCTTCAGAAGTGATGATGTCCACAAAAGTTTAACCTTCAGGCTGTCACGGAGGTGACAGCTAAACTGGAACCCAGACAACTCACTGGCGCACATTTCTTTGCGCTGACAATTGTGTCGGAGTGCTGTGACGCCTGGCTGGCCCTGCTGCAGATTGTTGGGGCATGTTTTGAAAAGGGACTCGGCTACTTATGGTGGTAACTGGCGCAGCACCAGGGCTGGCCACACTGCTGCAAGATGGACTGGCGCAATTTGAACTCAGCAGCTGATTCAGTTGTTGTGGCTTCCTGCTTCTCCTGCTGCAGTTAGCATACAGGCAAGTGGTCCAGGAAGACAGGGGCCCAGGGCCTTGTGTGGTAGGTATTCATGGTATGTGGAGGCTGCATTTCTCCCCTGGGTGTCTTTCTACAAATACCAAGTATTTTCTAAGGGCTCACAGTAGGAAAAGCTCTGGAGCAGAGTTGGCCTGTGACATTCCTTTGGATTCTGTATCTACCCAGTTAACCTGAGATAAAGCCTACTGGGAGTGCTTGTAAAAAAAGACCACCAAGGTGGGACAGGCAGAGTGATATATGCAGGGCCTGACCCAGCAGAGCAGTCAGCCACCATCATTTGCTTTTGACAGATGCTCAAAAAGGGGACAGAAAAGTGGGAAAGTTTTATAGCGAGGAAAAAAGAAAAGATTTCTTCGCGTGTGCTGATTGGAGGCTTGTTGGCATGGGGAAGTTGGTGGCGGGCTAAGTAGAAGCAGGGCACCCTGCGTGATTGGTTTGGAAAGCACATTTGGCTCTCTCTGATTGGTCCTGAGCTGGAAGGAGCAGCAAAAGTTAGGGACGCTGCCAACGACTGACCACGTCAGACCATTTTCTCAGGGACGCTGATTGCTTACCGAGGTTGTGGTTTGGCTTCCTGGACTGCTTACTATAGAAGTTGCAGGTCGAAGTTCAGTTTTCACATATGGTCTGGGCCCTGTACATTTACCCTCTCAGGAGAGACAATCGCGAATCCTAATCAGCCTGGGATAGATAACTGTTCCCCAGTAAAAATTTATTGCACAGATGTTTATCATAGTGGCCATTGTAGTTGCAAAAAAAAAATTGACACAAAACAAAAAAAACAAGGCCAGACATGGCCAGAATGTCCAATTTTATAGAATTAAGAAAATTTTAAGGTTCACTATATCCTAATGGAACAAAGATATTCTAATGGCATCGGAAATGTTTATAAACGTTATGCCAAATGACAGGCTTGGTTCAAAACCCGACGTACCATGCAATCACAGGGGTAAGCGCAGGTCAGGTGAAGGGGCTTCCTGCTGTGTAATTCTTAGGTAAGATGTGCTCAGAGGCCCACCCTGTGGTACAGGCAACTCAATCCCCTCTCTGGGGTTTCTGAAAACTTTCAAGAGATGTGAAAGGCCTCGCTGGCTCAGAGCAATTTCCCCAGGATTATTCAAATTCCAGAATATTGACTCAGCACCCCCTGCACTTTGCCACGTCAGCCCAGTCGTAGAGACACGGCCCTTAATTTTAATAAAAACTCACCTCGGCCTTTGCATGGAGCATGGAGGGATATGCATCCAGCCAAGCGTACTTAAAAATGGGAACTCGCTCTCTCAGTCTCTCTGTCAGCGGGCATATTCCCCAGGTCTGGGCCACGGTCTTTCCCCCCATGCTCTCAGACGCTTCTTTTTTTTCCTTCCTTTTCTCTTCCTTCTCTGTCCACACCTCTAGAGGAGTAACAGATTCTTCCTGTAGTAACTGCATAATATAACGCTCCAGGCCCTACTGCCACCATTGTTCTTCTGATCAAGTCCAAAGACTCTGCTAAAGCTTTAAAAGCACCCAGCGCAGGGCTGCAGATGTAGCTCAGTGGTGGAGTGCTTTGTGGACTCCCTGGTGACAGCCCCAGCCTTGCAACCACAAAAAGCCACCCAGCGGAGTTCTAAGCTCGCTCAGAGGGCGAAGCCTCTTCTGCTCGGAGGCCCTGCTGCCTGAGCGGGGGAGGGAGTGGGTGTGGGCAGCCCTTCTTTCCTGTAACCTGGGGCTGTTTGCAGATTAGAGGCAGGCGGGGTCGGTCAGACTCCTAGCACAAGCCTGGCCCTGCAATTGTGCTTGTCATTTTATTAAACTGTCTCAGGAGGGTCCTCCTCCACGTCTTCTGAGTTTCCAAGCTTTATCAGACGTCCTGCTCCAGACAGACCCTTTATTCCTGGCTTCTGCATGATTTTTCTCCCATCTATTCTGAAAGGCCAGCACTTTTCACTGCTGCCTTTCACCGAATCATCTCAGTGTTGCTTTTCTAGTATGTGTCGGAGAAGACCTTTATTTTATAATCCAGTATTAAATTTCTATTGATTGGCTCCCAAAGGCCTCAAAAAGTTAATGCTGCTAAGTTTTACTATCTAATTCTTTCCCCGCTTCCTGTAGTAATGGGGATTGAACCTGGAGCCCTCATGCTGAGCTACATTCCCAACCCTTTTTCAGTTTTGACTTTCGGCAGGGTGCAGCGGTACACACTTATAATCCCAGCACTTGGTAGGCTGAGGTAGGGTGATCACAAGTTTGGGACCAGCCTATGGTACATAGTGAGTTTAAACCCAGACTGGACAACACAGCGAGTTATATGTCTGGTCTTGAGTTAGGATATAAGAAATAAAGATAGGTAGAAAGGAGACAAGGAAAATTTTATATATATATGCTTTTGTTTGTTTTTGGTTTTTTGTTTTTTGAGACAGGGTCTCACTATGTAGTCCAGGCTGGCCTTGAATTCAGGGTGATCCTCCTGCTTCTGCCTACCAAGTGCTAGGATTACAGGCATGTACCACCACCCCCAGCTGAAAATTATAATTTTAAAATTACACTTTTTAAGAAAGACTGCAGCTTTAGGACATAAAAGTTATTCAACATTTTTTCCCCTTCCAGGAAGAATTCCAAAGGGCCTTAAGGATAATAAGCCTGTAAACTGGGCTGGAGCCTGTGCCTTTCAGCTGTAAATTGTGTCCCTTCCTACAAAACCCCAGCCTCAGGAAGCCCCACAATTAAGAGGAAGGCATAGCTCAGCTTCCAACACATGCAAATGGAGCTCGCCAAGTGGGCGAACCCAACAGAGGACACGTCTTAGAAAACCCATTTTAGGGGGCCAGAGATACAGCTCAGCAGCACAGTGCCTGCCTGGCAAGGGTGAGGTTGTGTGTTTGACTCCCAGTACCAAAACACCCACATTTTAGGGGTACTTCAAGTCCCCATAAATAGGTTCAGTTCAAGGCCTCAAGGCCTTTGCCTCCAGAGGGGCCTCACTCTATTTCTTTAAGTGTGTACTTTTAAAATTTTGCCCAATAAACCTCATTATGCCTCTTACCTATGTGTCCTGAAAACTCTTCTTCTGTGAGGCAAGTCAACAAGCCTGTAACCTACGTGGTGAGTGAGGTGAGTCAAAGCTCTGCTTGGCCCTGTCTTAGATAGAAGGCTGGAGGGAAATCCTGTCAGGGAACATCTGTGGGAAGAGGTAGGTGCCAGCATGGAAAAACTCTTTCCAAGAGGTAGGGAAACTGACAACCACAAGCTGCTGTTCTTGACCAACCCCTTGACCTCCGTGTGAAAGAGTGGTTTTGAGTGACAGTTGGCGGGCGCCTCTGTGGTCGTTCTCCTCCTGTGCCCTGTGATCACACCCTGGTCACCTGGGAAAGACAGTGGGCTTGAGTGGTGGAGCGCTGACGCAGGCACAGCCGTACAAAATTTCTGTGCAAAGGCCAGACCTGGTGGTGCACATCTATAATCCCAGCACTCGGGAGGCTGAGGCAGGAGGATCACTGTGAGTTCAAGGCCAGCCTTGGCTACAAAGTGAGTTCAAGGCCAGCCTGAACTGCATGTGAAACCCTCTCTCAAAAAGACAAACAAACAACATTTCTGTGCAGTACGAGGGGTATGCCATCAGTACTGTGAGAACAGGTGGAAGCAAATGTGGACCGGGAATGCTCATGATTTTACAGAGCCCTGCGAGCCACGCGTAATAAGAGCAGCCTAGGAATCTTCCTGCTTCGGTAGGTGGAGTCTCACGGGGCTCTGAGAGATGCCCAGCAGAGAGGCCCTGGAAGGCATCACGGGGCGATGGTCGCACCATGAGTGTCTAAAGCTTCAGCGAGTAGCAGAAGCAGTCGGTGGAGAAGGAGATGGCACCGCGAGAGCTCAAGACGTTAGCGCCCTACATGGTGGGCACCGCAGAACGGTAATAAAGAGCTCAGCACCAGACAGCACCAGAGGAGTGAAAGCAGAGAAGGACTTCGGCCAGGAATCCAAGGCAAGCGTAAAATTCAGTAGCGGAGAAGACTTGCTAGCAGACATACCTGGTTCATCCCTGCAAACCTGCAGAAATGCCTGGGGGGAATCGTGAGGAGGAACTAAATCTTCCCGGATTTTTCTTATACAAACGAAAGCCATAGTTACTGCAACTCGCTGAGCAGTTGACATCACTTACCATTTAATTCTCACAGCAATCCCATGGGTGGGTGACAACAGCCTCATTTTACCAGGGAGAGAGGAGGAAGTCAGAGAGACAAATAACTTACAAGGGTTGCACAGCTCTGAAGCCCTACTAACCCAAGGCTTTTTAATTCTTTTTTCTTCTTTTGTCTTTTTTTGGGACAGGGTCTCACTACGCAGTTCAGGCTGGCCTTGAGCTCACTTTGTAGCCCAGGCTGTTCTCCAACTCACAACAATCCTCCTGCCTCAGCCTCCCGAGTGCTGGGATTACAGGCGTGTGCCAGCATGCTGAGCACTTTACTTCTAAATTCAATGATCTACTGCTAAACAGTAGGGCCCCCAAAGAGGATCAGAATCTAGTCAACAAATTCACTCAACAAATATCTATGGCATGTCTACTGTATTTCAGACATGATTCTAGATACCCTCTTGAAAGCAGTGACCAAAATGAATAAAATCCCTGCCCATGTTAGGTTTCAAGATTGGATATTATTATTATTATTATTATTATTGGTTTTTGGGGGGGGGTGTTCTTTTGAGACAGGGTCTCTCTATGCAGTTCAGGCTGAGCTCACTTTATAGCCCAGGCTGATCTCAACTCACAATGATCCTCCTGCCTCAGCCTCCCGAGTGCTGGGATTACAGGTGTGTGCCCCCACACCCGGCTAAGACTGGATATTATTGAAACTGTAGCCCTTATGTTGTTTCCAGGCTACTCTGACCTTGGACACATGGTTACAAAAAGAAACTGGAAGAACTCCAAAGCTTGAGATAACCTGGGATCCCAGTAGATCCATTACTCAGCCATGCACCGGGCCAGCAGCCAATGCCTCTTCCACGTCTCGTCTGTACAGAATCTGTCCCATTCCATTGATTTAGGAGGCAGATGCAGCTCCCTTCACTTCTGTTCCCAAAGAATGAGAAGAACTTGTGCTGGGGAGCAGTTAAGGACAGGGGAACCCGAATGCCTCACCCCAGGATGGAAATAGAGGACACAGTGCTTCTGATGACTGCCGATGCCTAGGCAAGATGGGTTGTATTTAGAAACAGCATCTGCACATGTAGCTTATACACAATCCAGCTCTCCTCCACAGTCCTTTGAACAGACGGGATACCAAGATAAGCAGGTCAAGAGCATTGTGAATATATTTACACAAGTGATGCTATGAGAATGAATATTAGGCCGCTGGTGGTGGCACACACCCATAATCCCAGCACTCAGGAGGCTGAGGCAGGAGGATTTCCGTGAGTTTGAGACTAGTCTGGACTACATGGTGAGCTCAAGGCCAGCCTAGACTACTTAGCAATGCCCTGTCTGAAAAATAAAACAAAACAAAAAGAATACTGGCAAGGTGAATTGATGAGATTCAAACACCATTCAACACCAAATCAATCTAACACCAATGCTAGAAGTGTTTTCTTTTCTTCTTGAGACTTGCTATGTAGTTCAGGCTGGTCTTGAACCCACTATATAGCCAAACTAGCCTCCAAATTACAGCGATCCTCCTGCCTCAGCCTCCTGAGTGCTGGGACTGTAGATATGTGTCACCATGCCTGGCACTAGCAGCTTTCTGTACCTCAGTGAAGGAGGTTCAGAATGCATGGCATCATGATATAACTCCCATTTACCTAAGTCTATGACAGGGAAGTATAACACCACGATCAGGAGGAAGAACTCTGGATAAGAGCTACTTGAGTTTGAATCCTTGCTGTACTCTTACTAGCTGTGGGACCTTAATTCAGTATTTCATTTTTCTTTGCCTCACTTTTCTCATCTATAAAGTGGAGATGGTGGTAATAAAGGCTATCCTATAGGATTATTTTTAGACAGGGTCTCACTCTACAGTTCAGGCTGACCTTGAACTCACTATGTAGTCCAAGCTGGTCTTGAACTTACAGTGATCCTCCTGCCTCAGCCTCCCAAGTGCTAGGATTATGAGTGTATGCCACCGTGCCCGGCCTCACAGGATTATTGTAAGACTTAGCAAAGTCTAAGTGTTAGCCATTATCAATGGAGGAAGAGTACTTAGATCATAGGCCATAGTTCATTCAATAGTCTCTGTTTACCAAATACTATTTCACATTTCCTCTTTCAGGGCAGAAAAGAAGATGATATATCAATTGTTTATGTCACTTACAGCTAGGTTTTAGCAAGCTAGGCCTTGGTGGAAGTGATAGAAGCCACTCATAGTCTTTGCTGTTATAAACACCCTGTAATTTTCTTCCCCTGATATAGCAGCAGCCTTGGCAACCAGATGAAGAGATGGCAACAATCCAAGATGGTAGAACTTCCTTTAACCGGGGTTCCTAAGAAATTATATGGAGCAGAGCCCTCTGCCCCACCTATGCTTATCTCCATTGGACACTTAGCTTGAGCGTGGATACATGTTAACTGCATTGAGCCACTGTGATTTAGAGGTTCACTCTTACCGCAGCATCACCTTGCCTATCCTACAGAGCCAGGAGCTCATGCTAAGCAGTAGCAGGTGCCTCTCCC